TGGTGCTATGTTGGGGTCAAACTAGTCTCGAGTCCCTGACACAGAAATCAGTCCACAGACTGTTGAACACAACCAAGAGAGTCGATGAAGGTCTGCAATCAGCTGGTTAAGCAGTTCTAGCTATACAGCAACATTTTCTGGATAACCACCCACATATTAGAAAAAACGTAGTTTAGGGAGCTACTGTATATATAACCTGTGTATACTACACAGTGTACCGACTTCAGCGTTTCCACTCTACATTCTGGGTCTTCCAGTCGCTCCAACAGCAGTTTCACTCCTGACACGCCTGGATGGTTGTAGCTCAGGTCCAGCTCTCTCAGGTGGGAGGGGTTGGACTTCAGAGCTGAGGCCAGAGAGACGCAACCTTCCTCTGTGATCCCACAACATGACAGCCTGGAGAGAAAATGGCTCTTACTAAAGCAAAAGGCTTTGCTACTCTTCACCGTTACCACACATGTTGCAGAGTATTTGGACTCCATGGAGCTCGAGCTGCCAGCAGTACCTCAGTGTTTCCAGGCTACAGTTTAAACTCCCAAGTCCAACAGACAGCAGCTGCACACCTAAATCCTTCAGGTCGTTGCGGCTGAGGTCAAGCTCTCTCAGCTGGGAGTTAGAGCTGAGAACGGAGGCAAACACCTGCCAGCAGTTATTTTTCAGGAAACAACCAGGCATGCTGCAAACAAAGCAAAACATCTGCACATCATAACCTGCAGAGAGAAAACGAAAGATGATCCTTGCACTAACTGCAGGCACCTGAACCGCTCCAGTTTACAGACTGGACCAATCAAAGCAGAAGGAATCACAGTCAGCAGGTGTGACTCATCACTGAAATCTCCACGGTTTCCAGTGGTCTTCACGTCATTTGTACAATATCCACTGTAATCCTCTGAATAACTGCATAAGCAGTTAATCAAATGAAGTGCCGTCAGAGGTGACGGGTCTGATCGAAGGACAGAAACCAGTCTGTGACAGTCGCTACAGTCTAGAGAAAACCCAGATAACCTGTGCGAAACACACACCAGTTAGAAATAATGTAGAGACGACTGTTTAGATGTACTGAGGTCATTTACCGTAGTTTAGTCCTCGTATGATACATGACTGTAGTTACATAAAGATTTCAGATTTTGAAAGAATTTTAACCTGCAGAAACAGTTTAAACTGACCTCAGTGTCTCCAGTTTACAGTCAGGACCTTCCAGTCCAGCAAAGAGATCAGAAGGAAAACCATCACTGACGTTAGAAAAATACACCAGGCTGAGCTCTGTTAAACAAGAGTCCGCTGACTGAAGAACAGACAGGAGCACGTCGAAGCAGCCTTTGCTTAACTGATCGTTCATGAGTCTGCAGAATCAGAAGAAAAGCACAAATATTTATTCACCTACAGTTATTGGTTTATTTGCAAACAAATAAATAAATATAAATATCCCAGATAATCATAGAAAGTACTACAATGTGGTTTTATGTGTGTCACACCTGATGTATTTCTACTTTAAATCTAACAGAGCTTCCATCAGGATCATTTCTGTTTCACTCTTTGTGGTGTCACAAGTTTGCTTGAAAATTCCACAAATATTTGAAATAATTTTTCCGATGTTTTTGTTTCCTTTTTTTTTTTGACACAGTCCTTGACTGTTTAATATTTACATAAAATGTTGATGGACTACAAATCAAACCGAGTTGGATGGTTCAAATCTTTGTACACGACATTAACTGTGAGATTTAATCAATAAAACGTTGAGCCAAACAGTAGAAGCAACACTGAGCAACAATGTGTTTCTGGAAGTTTGGAAATTTGTCAGAGAGAGTTGTTGCAAAACCAGCGAGATTG